AAAGATAATCATCCAAGAATTATAAGCCATGAAGGGCGATCGTGAGGGGCGGTGGTGCTGTGCGATGCAAATGTCGTCGAGGGGTCGTGGCAAATGTTGATGGCTGCAACGTAATTGATGTTTCGCGTGGGAGGGAGAGAGAGACATACTCACGACAATAAACAAATCGGGCGTTGCTGGGTCAACATTTGCTGACTCAGCGTCTAGGCCTCGTCCATCCAGAGACGCAGTGGGTGTCTCCACCCTGTTCTTGTCATTAGATGTAGAGATCAGGACATACTAACATGAAGATCCAAGTTGATTGAATTATCTTCTTTCTCCTTTGTTATTTTCTTCTTTTCGAGTTTTTTCTTTTCTTTTCTCATATAAATATTTTCCTAAAACAATTCGAGCAAATACAAATGTGATAGCAGCGGTGCTTATCACCAGCAACCAGTGGTCCCACATGGAGAGTTGTTGAAGAAATCACTAAAATAATCAACAGACAATCCCTTAAGTAGATTTTACTTCCAAATCACGCAGAGTGAAATTGGAGAGAAAAATTATGCAGTAAAAAACGCAATCGGAGGAGCCCCAAGTTCTCCTTGGCTGTGGCAGGTCTAGCCACAATACCTCCAAAAGTTCAGTGACTCAGATGGTTCTACGTAGCGGTGTCTGACAGTCTGCTACTCGGGCAGGTAGTGTGAGACGAGTAGAGTTCCTGAGACGCTGACGAGCCGGACCAGGTCTGTAGGATTCTTGACTTGAACAACATCAACTTGGCCCGCCGCGTCCGAAATGGCGACGGCTCGCGATGATGGGACCAACTTGCTGGCAATGAGTACTAGTACAAAAATATACAAGACGCGATTCGCGCAATGAGACGTTAGAAAAACCATGAATATAAAGCGCGTTCTCCGTATATGGGAATAAAGGAAGCCCTCGGGTTTTTATTTTGCCTTGGGGGCCAGCTGGGTGACGAGACGAAGCGGACGCCATACCTGCAGTGATTACCCCAAGGCGGCAGGAAACTACCTATTGATCATGGTCTGCGGCCCCTAAATAAGACAATGGCATCCTCCAAAGACATGGCGGAACTTGCATCCCCTGTCATGCTAAGCCTGCCTGCCGACGTCCTTATACCAGCCTACTCTAGGCATCTACTATAATCGTTCGTGACAGGCTCATGCGAGCCTGGATAGTCGCAACGAGACGAAGGAGACAGAATCAAGAATGAGACTGCTGTGCCGACTTGGTGCAGTTCCGTCATGTTCGCCACCTGGGTCCTGCAGGAAGGGAGGAACGACGAGCCTCATCGTTTCCTCCGCATGTCCATCGCACAAAGTTCACGGCAACTTGCACGCCAGGTCCCGCTATTGTTTCCCTTTTTGTATACGTCAATATTGTATTTTGCTCGAGGGCATCCCGAAGTTTTCCAATGCCTTATATAATCCTTATGTTGCATCTCTGAACGACTCCCTGGGGCCTACCCATCACATTCTCTCCGTCGCCTACTCTTGCTCATGCATCATTTGAGCCCCGAAGAAATTATCAGGCATGCGAGCCAAATGCTTCCTGCATACATTAACCTCACACACAAGGCCATCGATGCCGCGTTTCCCATCGTCCAGGACATGCTGTCGGACGCTATGGACCGGCTGCTCTGTTATAACCTAGTCAGCCCTACTGAAGTTGTCACCATGGTTCGGTGTATGGTTCTGACAGCCGAGGCACAGGGTCATGTGCGATGCAAGGACCATGCAAACCTGAAGAAGGCACTGGTTGCTGCCTACGTCGATTTGGGAGATCTCCGCTCATGACGTTTCATGGCAACGGAGTTACTTGCGATGCATGGTACGGATCTAGGCAATATGGAAATACTGCCATCTGTTTACATACTTATCTCTTGGATCGACGAAGCCGAGGGCCTGGTAGGTTTTACCCCGCCGTCGGCTTTGCGAGCTGTACTGGCGAGCATCGAAAGCTTTGGACAATGGTCGAACTGGATGGTGAATACTCTGATACATTATCACGGGATCTTTGAGAGGGTCAGGGAATAGACGATGCGCGGAGAGTGGAGGGTGATCACGACCCTGTCATTCATGAATTACAGCAGAAGTTGGAGAATCTCAGCATCTCTGCCGAACGTACTCGAACTTCGCTTAGTTAGGAAAGGTAGCTCAATCGCCGCCAAATCCATGGCTTGAGTAGCATGATGTACGATACCAATATGAGAAATGCCAGCCAGGAATAGAACATGATCAGCTCGGACCAGTCCAAACATTGTGCCTCAAAGATAGTAACATCCACGTCCGGCCCATTCCATCAATATGTAACGCAAGGAGGAACCACTAAAGAGAGACCATTGCCATGATCACAGTGCAATGATTTTTAAAACCAAAGCATCCCTTCCTTCGTCATCATGGCTTTTGGCACACCTGCTAACTTCATCCTCGTGGCATAGTACCCGTTTTTCTTGACGCCGCTCTACTTGTCTACATCATGCCTGCACTCCACTGCCAAGTGTCGATCGTGTACTTGAAACCCCAAAGACGGACAGAAAAGATTGAAGATATCCGAAGCAGTCCTCTGATCACCTTGAACACTACCAGACGACGAGCATGCTGTCCTATTTCTCCCCCGGCTTCGATGCCTCTTCGTCTTTCTCCTTTTCCTCCTCCTTGATGCCAAACTGCGTCTGCAGCGATGCCCTCAGCGCAACATTCTCCTTCTCAAGAACGAAAAAACAACAGCCAAGCCCATGATGCCCTGCCGCCACGGCCCACGAGATGCGCAGGGCATCCGTATAAACCTCGCGAATCTCGTCCTGCGCCTCGACGGGGAATGACTTGATAAAGTCGCGCGCGGCATACGAATAGGCATTGCCGCCGCCGAGAGCGGCGCGCACAGCGGGGTCGGAAATCTTCCACAGGTTCCGCGAGAAGATGTTGTTGAATGTCGTCGCCGGGATCGTCACACCCCAGATGGCACCGTAGCTGCGAACGTACGCCCAGGTTGACGTCGACGATGCGTTGTCCTCGTCTGTGAGGCACGCCTGCACGGCTGGCAGCAGCGACGTCGTTAGCAGTCCGTTGCCGAACGACGGGATCATCTGGAGGCAGACCCATGCCGCTGTCCTCGAGTCTCGGTTCAGGGCCGCGAAGCTGCCGAGGCCGGCGGCCATGAAGATGCTGCCGACGACGTGCAGAAGCTTGTATCTACCCGTACGACTGAGGTATTGGCCGGCGATGAGCGCTGGTGGGATCATGGCACAGACGGTAGGCAGAATCTGTACGCCTGAGCGGCTCGGCGAAACGAGCTGCACGGCCTGGAAGTAGACGGGCAGGAAGTACAGCGTCCACAGTGTCATGAGAGCATGAAGGAACGTGATGAGGAAAGCGATGGACGACGTGCGATTGCCAAAAAGGTGAGGTGGGATCGTCGGATGGCTACAGAATCTCGAAGCTTCGTATGAATGGAAGGCAACCATGCCAGCAAGACCGATGATCAGTGGTGCCAGCACGCGGCCGTCAGTCCAGGCGTACTCGGTACCAGCGTAGGTGAGGGCATAGAGGATGGCTGTCGTGGAGCCCAGGACCATGATGTTGCCGATGTAGTCAATGGTCTTGATGCGCTCCTTGAAAGGGGCGTGTACATAGTTGACGCGAAGAAAGGCGTACAACATCAACAGCGACACGCCACCGATAGGCACGCTGATCCAGAAGACCCAGCGCCACGAAGTGTGCTGGACGATGCTGCCACCGATGAAGGGGCCCGTGAAGAGGCCGACGGCGAAAACAAGATTGACGAGGCCGATGAACTTGCCACGCTCGCGCAGGGGAATGAGATCACAAATGATCAGATCGATGAGCATGTTGAGACCGCCACTACCGAGACCTTGGATAGCACGGCCTACAATGAGCGTCTCCGCGTTATTGGCGCCACCGCAGATGCCGCTGCCGATTGTGAAGATGGCCACGCTGATGATGGTAGGCCACCGGCGGCCCCAGGCGTCGGCGAGTTGCCCAATGACGGGCAGAAATGCGGTGCTCGTGAGGAGAAAAGAGTTGATAATCCAGGCGTAGCTGTTCCCGACGTCGAGCTCGTGCACAATTGTAGGCATGGCTGTTGAGAGAACAGTCACCTCGATGGCTGAGAGCAGCGTAGTGAACATGATGGCTGGGAAGATGGCCCAGAACCGCCATGACTTGCCCTTGGCAAAGTCTTCCTCTTCATTCTTGTCCTCGGTCGGCTGCTGAACGCCATCGCCAGAGATGGACGAGTTTTGTTTGTCGCCCGAATTCGACTGGTCTGACTCAAAGGCGTCCCGAGAAGCCACCGTGATATCGGGGGCATTGCCCTCAGTGTCGCCTTTGGTTTTGGGAGCCATATCTCTCAACAAAGGTGGTGGATATGCGGAAGATCTGAGGAAAGGGGAGGGAAAGGGATATGGCAAGAATGTCCAGCACAACTGTCCCACGAATAAGATCAGTGAATTTGGGGTGGACGGCTGAGGCTCTTCAACAAAATCGTGCACCCCCTTAAGACTGAGCAGTCACAAAGGCGGCACAAGGCCCGAAAGTGGATGGAAAATTGCTCCATCAATCTATCATCGGCCGAAGTCAGCAGAAACTTCAAATCGCCGAGTCCCAATGCAAATCTTCCATGTCGAAAGCGCCCCCAAAGTCACGATTCCCATTGTTCGGCGAAACGGGACCCCATCTCCTGTGCTGGTCTCTTGTGTGCTTTCATGTACGTTCGGCGTTTCGACCCGGCCCCCACGTTCGGCGTTTTTGTCCTCTCCAGGCAACAGGGGCAACGGTATGCGTCCATCCGCCCGGCTGAATGTGTTTGCATGACGAAACTTCCTTTGTTGGCGGTTCGTCTCGCACAGACTACTCCCTACTCTACCTAAACTGCTGACGGCTGACAGCGCTTGGCCATTGGTACGCTGATGCCTTTGACCGTGCCTCTCTGCGTCTGAAGACCCCGATTTGCCTGGTCCCCCTCACCTTGACATCTGCTCACGCTATACCTCGAACCTTTTCACTCGCACGCGCAGTGATAGCCACATGTTTTTACAACCCTCAGCATCTCCCTGCCGTGTTTGTCATTATGCCTGTGCGGAGGGAGACCAACCCCCAGAACCGCCTCGCGTGCGATCGCTGCCATTCTCAAAAGCTCCGATGCCAACGCCAGGACGGCCAAGGCATTTGTGCCCGATGCAGCCGTTTGAGAACTGCATGTGTCTTCAGTCCGCGACAGCGCCGCAACATACATAACAATCACGAGAACTGCGATGTGGAAATGAGGCCAGAACCTCGAGACCTATCGTTGGAACCCCCGGTACTATTGACGACAGTGACGACAGAACATTCGTTGGCGGATACACAGAGCAAACCTCATCGTCTTCCAGAGACACCACAGCCGTTGAGCCCGAATCATGCTATCGATCCATACTCGTCTTTGTCCTTTGCCGTCACTGGACTCAATGATTTCAACGCTGGCCCTGACTCCGGCGTCAGTCCCAACGACGGGAGCACGAGCCTGTCCAGTTCCAAATCTCCCGGCCTCACGGACTTCTCTACTCTGCTTGACATGGACTTTTCCAGTCTGGGCTCCACCTCTGCGTCTTCGAACTCATCAGAATGGAACTTCCCCATGGACTTGGCAACCTTTTGGCCCCCTGCCGCCCCATTAACCGTGGTTGACGAGGAACTCAAGATATCGGGCCCCGTGATTGCCTCCTCGCTGGTCTCGGAAGAGGTGGTCGACATGACTCTGGACGCGAATAATCGCGACGCCAAGGTGCGAATGGATCCTGCAACAATCTCGGCTCCAACTACGACTGGCGAAATCCGCGCAGGCGCCGTGGAAGTTGTGCATCCTGTGCGCAAACTGGCGGACCTCAACGTCCGCCTGTACGAGCATTCTGCTGCCCTCCCGCCCGTCACAATGGTGGCATCAGATAAGGTCCCATCACTCGAGGGTCGCCTTTTCGCCATTGACGAGACGTTCCGCATGACACAATCGCTCATCGATCTGTTAAAAACACTGTATCCACGCGACGGGCCAGTGTCCGACCTCGTCTCTGACCAGGGCACCTTACTGCTCATAATGTCATGCTCCAACCGCGTCTTCGACATTTACGAGGTCATTTTCGGCCACATGAGGGGATGCGTCAACCATAACATCACGCCCGTCACGCCCGACGGCAAGACCGTGCTCCTGCCCGAGCTGCGCATCGGCTCCTTCGCGCCTCCGGCCCCCTCGGCCATAGCCATGCAGATGTTGCTCATTGTTATGATGGCCTCGGAGTTATTGACCAGCTGCGTGATGTCTTGGGCTGCTGGAACAGTGGCGACCTGTCTAGGCGTGCGCCGGCGGACGGTCCCGACTTCGCGGAGGACGTCGGATCTGAACTTGTCAAGAAAAGCTGGCTCGGTTGCAGGTGAAATTGGCAGCGCTCGCCAGATGCTGCTGAGTGTGGCTGGCGTGCCTTCGCTGCAATGTGGGTGCCCTGGGAGGTCTAGGAAGAGCTTTGCAGCCAAGGTGAAACAAATGACTACTTACGCTATGGATCATTACGCTTGTGCATGTCGCTGATACGTCGCCCTGAAATCGCTGTCACTGGAGCCATGGCTCTGAAGAATCTGTCCCCTCATGGCAAGCAAAATGCGCCTCGCAACATTTCTCTTCCATTTTTCTCTTGTGAGGAAAGACCTCCGTCTTGCTAAGATAAATCTAGACATCAACATAAATGGAAATACACCAGACATGGATTTCACTTCTCAGCGGGCCCTACATAGCCGTAGACTCCGAGCACGCGGGCCTTCTCCTTGCCCTTCCGGCAGATGGCCTTGCGGCAGTGGTAACGCGCGCCGTTGATTTCGATAAAACCCCAGAGGCCAACGGTCGAGAAGCTACCGCTGGAATTGGTACCCCGGCTCTCAATGTGTAACTCTCCGTTGGGCCCGGCCCCGCCGTTCTCGCGTTCGTCGTTGGTGTAAACCCAACCCTCTTTGAGCCAAGGGTCATCGTCCACTTCGTCGAGGTTGGCCCACCGGCACTGCTCGTACAGGGTGCCTAGCATCTCTGTTTCGACAGCGTGCTTCTTGTTGTCGATGATACGGTTCTCAGAGTTCCCGCCGAACCCACCGCTGATACTCAGGGCCACGTCGATATGGGTGATGCCTTCCGAGTCTACGTATTGGGTGTGGGTTTCCTTGACTGTGAGAATATGAAGAAACTGTGAGGGGGTGGATGCGAAGTTAGAAGCAACATACGGAGAATGTGGTGGGAGAGAGGGTGTATCGGGCTTACCTGACGCTTCCACCAGGGGAGACCTTGCAGGCTGAGGTACTGCTCGAAGCCCTCACATAGCTTAGTGGCGACGAACCACTGGCCTGTCATGTCCTTGAGTGACTTCTCAGAGGGCGCTGCCATTTTTTCGATTGCCTGGAACGATGAACAATATGATCAATAGCAGTAACCCGCGATCTAAGTGCAATGCGAAGCTTTGGTGGGCAAAATACTCGAAGTGCAATCTGGGGAACAACGGAGCTGTCGATTCGCTCTGTGGGAAGTGACAGATCGCTGGTACTGTTACCCTCATAAGAACACAACCCTTCCTCTCAAATTCTTCTCTATTTTCAGCTCGGCATGCTGAACAGTCTCTAGAAAGTTGTCGCCGAGAGCCTGTGGGTTGGGAACACGGCTCTGAAGGCTGGCCGAATCGGTGAAACAAGACCCCTAAACGACAGGAAGGCGGCCGACTTTTCGGTGCGCACGCGCGCTGTGCTTCATCCTTCTTGGGGTTAGGCGGCCTGTACTGTTCTTCGGCCCAGAACCCAGCTGTATCACAACCACTTCCCAATATGGAGATGTACACCGAACTTGGGTGATAGCACCTGATCGAGTGGCGCGTTTCTTCGGCACAATATTCAGACGGGCGCGAACCGACGGCTTGTAGGATGGAAGGTTCGGCCAGAACTGGGCGTTCGAGTGACGCTGGCCGCACATCTTCATCCTTGGTACCTTGAGGAGGGAAGAGTTCAGGATTCTTTTTGAGCTCGGTTGTGTTCATCATGTCCAAGTCAAAGGGGGAAAACACAGAAGCATCTCTAGCTCCTACAACAAAGTTTCAGCGCCCTACCGCCATATCACTACCAATTTTACCATCATGGCTGTTCATGCGCAGCTTGCACCACCCCCTACGCAGACAGCCATCATCACGCAGCCAGACCTCCAGCTCGGTATTGCAAACGATGTGCCTGTGCCCCACATCACAGCCGACAATATGATTCTCGTTCGTACTCGGTCTGTAGCTCTTAACCCCAGCGATTTCAAGATGTATGCAGCATTTCCATCCCCAGGAGCTGTCGACGGCACAGACTTTGCAGGGGATGTCGTAGCTGTCGGCACAGCTGTGACGCAGTGGAAGGTCGGCGACCGTGTGTTTGGCGCCGTTCAGGGCGGAAACCCGTCGAACCACCAGTCGGGAGCTTTCCAAGAGTATGTGCCGACATTTGAGCTCGAAGTCGTCCGGATTCCAGACTCCATGTCCTACGAAACAGCGGCAAGTATCGGAGGTGCATGCATCACTACGGCGGCGGTGGTCATTTACGGCTCGCTGGGGCTGAGACCGCTGCCCTTAAGCAAGGCCCCCGAGGACCCTGCAACAGTGCTCGTCTATGGCGGAAGCACCGCCAGCGGTGCTATGATCATCCAATTGCTCAAATTGTACGTTTTTTTGCTCCCTCTCACGTAACATTTCCTTGGGCTTCGGCTGGCTCTCTACTTTGGTTGTCATTTCATTCAACAAGACGAAATACTGACCTACAATCACACGAAAGATCCGGACATGTTCCTATTGCAACCTGTTCGCCTCACAATTCTGAGCTAGTCAAATCGCGTGGCGCAGAGACCGTTTTCGATTACCATTCTCCAACTTGCGCTGCGGACATTAAGTCCCACACGAAGAACAGGCTCAAATACGCCATTGACTGTATTACGTCCCCTTCCAGCGTCAAGATCTGCCACGAAGCACTTGGCCGCATGGGGGGCAAGTATACGGCCATTGAACGGATTCCTGATCTTCCAGGCCTGCGAAGTGTCGTCAAACGGGAGTGGGTCATGGGGATGACAATGGTCGGCAGACCTATTGATCTTGGAAAAGGCTACACATTTCCCGTCGTTCCTGAACATGTCAAACTGGGTTTCGAGTGGAGGCCCGTCTGCCAGCGATTGATCGACGAAGGGCGTCTTTTGCCCCACCCCATTAGAATGCTGAGCGGGGGGTGGAATTCAATCCTAGAGGGTCTGGATGATTTAAAGATGCAAAAGGTCTCTGGCGAGAAGTTGGTATTTACTGTTTATTAGATTCCCGGGCTCGCGGGCCTGACCCGAGCAACATCGTCAGGACTATGATTATTTAACAAGTTCTCATCGTCCACTGCACTCACCATTCAGACCCAAAGCTCTCTGTTTTCACCTACGGCGCGATGTACTCTGAACTTGTTGGCACAGATGCATGTCACGGAATGGACAACCAGAGTCTTTGCTAAGGGCTGTCCTTCTAGCACTACTGCCATTACCCACCATGAACACATGATCATTCATTATTTTTTCTGCATAACACAATCAATTATCTGCTCAACTCTCACAATGCCTGGCGCTGGATCCCAAAGCTTTTGTCCAAGAATGCAAAAGTCCGCATGTGAGCCAAGCCAAATGCTCCAATCTTGGCCTGAATCCCACCCTCTCCTGGTTCCTCAGAAAACCACAATTTCTTGTCTGATTCCGGCACATTGACCAGTTCGGTTTGTATTTGCATGGTGGTGTCTCCAAGCGTTTTGAAATACAGACTTTGGCCTGCTCCAGAAACCAGAACTGGACACTTGATGCGATGGAGGAATCCTTGCTGATCGCCTGACGCCCTGCTTGGGCTTCGCTCTCGACCCAGGGGTGGCACCTCCCCAAGAGTGAAGTGCATCACTCTGCGAAACATCTCTGACGGAATATCAATGCCAAACATCTCTGACGGAATATCAATGCCAAACATCCACTTGGAGTTTTCCAACTCCCACTTATCCTGGAATGTGCCTAGCATGCGGCCAATGCTAGCAACACCATTGAGTACCGAGTCGGGGATCCAGCCGCTCTCCCACAGTCCCATGAGGCCGCCCGGCATACGAGCCTTGACAAAATCCCACAAGCTGTAGAAAGGATCAATGCTAACGCAGGCAGAGATTCTTGTGTCCGACGCGCCGCGAAGCGCCAGATAACCACCCATACTGGCGCCTGTGATGCCGATTCGCGAGGTGTCAAGACAGTGAAGCCGGTCTTGCGTCTTGACAAGCTCACAGAGGTGGTCGAGCACAGCGCCCACAACCACTTCCCAGTCAGGTCGAAACGGTAACCCATGCTTACGGAGGACAGTGCCTTGGCCCGGACCTTCAAAAGTGAGAGCAGCATAACCGCGCTCGACAGCGGCGCAGGCTACCATGAAATAATGCTCCTCCTGCGTGGAGTCGGCGCCACAAGTTGCCAGTATGATTGGCACGTTTCGAATTGTCTCATCCAAGTTTGAGCCGTTGACCTGCCTTCCGCGTACTATCGTTTCGTTCTGCGCATCAAGCCGCCTGAATTTGGCTGGTAGGTAGAGGTACCCGGGCAGCATGTAAGTGGCACCGTCATCTGTCGTATACGGTATGGCAAGTGTCTCCACGGAGGCACAGTTCTCGAGTAGAGGAATGGCTGCTCGGAAGTTTCGCACACTGCGCTCAGAAATCGGGAGAATTCGTGGCAGTTCTTCTCTGAACATCATGTATTGGCTGGCTCGAAAGTAATTGCATGCACGCAGATGTGCCTTTCGCGCGGAAACGGCATCGCCGAGCTGAGCTGCCTCATACGCGATAGCCTCGGCTTGCTCTCCAGCCTGATTCCAGACTTGGTGCCATTGCTCTGGCCCCTTAGCTGCTAGGGACGCTCCTTGAAGAAATTCGGCGATCTCGGAGCCCTCAAAGGGCGCAGCAGAAAGAATGCGATGCAATTCAAAATCCATGAAATCGCTTTTGGAGAACCTGACCATCTTCATTTTGAATGCAAACGACTGGAAAAATTTGTTCAATAAAGCTTTGATGGTAGAAAAAGAGAAAAGCAGCGCCTCGTGGGACTGATTCGGTAGCAAGCTGGGGCAAGAAGATAGAATAAGGTATATCAGGCGATGATTCAGAGCCCTACAAAGCTGTAGGAGTCAAGTACGCCGAATCTTGGACCAGGCTTATACAGGCCTATCGAGTCCTGGAAGCCGCATATTCGGTCTGGGACCGCGGCCGATTCGGATCGGGGTTGTGGGGTGATCTACTCGGACCGGATTGCCTCTTTGGGTTATACTAGTGGATGCCCGTCGTGTTGGCTCGGGATCTGGATTAACATTCGTCAGCAACGAAGCTACAATTGGCAAACCTGTTCAATGGGAATGAACAAAAAAATTGTCGCACGATACTTTGTCAGATCGGGGAGTAAGCGCTGGTGGACAGGGAGCCGAAGTTTACACATTGAACAGACGGCGTAGACTTGGACGTAATAAACATGGAAGCCAACCTGCCCTGGAACAAAGGATGCATTTGCGTCCAAGTGAAAGTGATCGCCTCAAACAGTCCTTCGAGGTCATTTATTCTAGATCGCGCATTTATCTTCTTCGCATCGCCAAAATATGTCTATTCCGCCCGAATTACTCAGGGTTATTCCTGTGATCACAAGTTCCATGATGTGGGTAGAATCTCTGTTCTCAACGCCATGTTGACCACTAGTCCTCCTGACACGTACTTGGAATATCAGCCTTCAATCAAACTATGATCAGCAGACTGCTTTCAGAGCCTTCCTCCACCAAAAGGTGCCCTATCAATCTCGTGGAAGGGTTCTACCGCTGTGGTATCAAGCATTCTACCTACCCAATGTATCTGAGCTTGGCGTACTCTATCTTTCCGGCGGTATTGTCAGTCTTATACTCTACTATGGGCATGAAAGTGGAGCCAACAATTACTCTTTTTGGAGCGCTTTGTTTACGGCAGCACACCTGATCTTCTCCAAATTTGCTTGGGATGGACTTCAGGGATTTTCAGACGCCAGGGCCCCGTTTGAAAGTACGGAAAAGGCGCTGAGAGGTTGGCTCATGGTGAGTTTGGCAAGGCTGGTCATTGCCGATGGACCGGCTTGGTTGTTCGCTACTCTGGCATTGACTCAATCCATTCGATCTTAAGTAAATCCATGATGGAATTCCGTTGCAATCCTTTCTCCGAATTTCGGCTATGAAGGCAAGTTTGACCGTTATCGTGACAAGAATTATGCACCAAACTCTTATTTATCAGCTGCTCAGTAATGAAGTCGACCTCTTGTTACTGTAACAGCTGCTCCAGTAGCCGTATATCCTCCTTCAGCGAGCCGATCCCTCTATTCCCGTTTCCCTCGCTTTCGGAGTCCTCCTGCTTTATGGCTAGCTCTATAATGTGTCTAATTGCAGAGCTAGTTGTAAAATTTGACTTCTTCTCTGTATGGCTACAAGTTGAACCTGACCCTGATAGCACGCTCCTGCGCGAGCTACCGCCATGACCTGATCCACAGGTCGAGGATCGCGACAACGGGGTTGCGAAGCCGTTGCCTCCCAGGACATTCGCTCGAGCCGTTTGACTCAATATAGAAGATGATGCGGACCGTCTGTGTCGCGAAATATGTTGGTTTCTGAGCCCTTGGTCGGTTTCATCTGCCTCAGTAGGCTTATTGCAAGGGCATGTCGATTTCCCGACGAGCGTCTCCAGTATACGCTCAATCCTCTCAATCATATGCAGACCCATGCGCACCAGGAGGAGGGCCTGCAAAGCCGTATCGTTTCTAATCTGAATTGTGCCCAGCTGCAAGACAGGAAGGTTTGCGATTCGATCACTCATACTAGCACCAGCGCCAGCGGAGGCGTGCACTTGTCGGCGGATATAAGTGACCAGATCACTGTAGATTCTCATGGTGCGGGTATAGCACGAAATGATGATAAGGGCAGTATGTATGTCGAGCTTCGATTGCTCCCTGCTACTGCATTCTTTGTCGCTATCATGATAGTCATCGAAACACATGTCTGTGTCCATGTTTGTGGAAGGGTCTCGAAGGTGCCGATTCTGAGTTCTTACATGATCTTCATCGCCAGTGAACGTAGGGAATGAATGCACATCAGGTGCCAATTGCGACAGCCCCTCATCTGCGTGTGTTTGAACTTTGAGAGCTAGCTCGGCGCATCGACAGCTTTCCATTTGAATAAATTCACTTAGAATTTCGACAAATGTCTGTGTCGCCATGAGAATGGAATCGATGGGATAGTCATCGCAGCGGAAACCGATTCCCCCCAGTAGTGGTGTGGCATTTTGTTGAATAGTGGTCGCAGGCTGCGCTGGCTTTCCTGTCTCCGCAGAGAGTTCATGTAGACTGACGCTGAGGAGAGACAGCCGCTGCACGAGGGAGTTTGTATTGCCATCGGAATCGCTGCCACGTTGCATCTCAGGCCTTTCGCCGGCCCTGGGACCTTTGCCAGCACTTTGGCCCAGGGAAGCTGTTGATGCACCTTGAAGCACATTGTGTTGTGTCTCTTCCAACTGTTCGCTTCGTGCATTCACGGACGAATTTCTTGGATCGTTCTGTCGGCAAGCAAAGTCCAAAGTAGCAGCCGATGAGTTCGCCACTGACGTGTCAAATGTATACTCCGGCCCACCCCGGGATTCTACAGGTGCATGAGCCCCGTGCTCCGGTGCAATAGAACCCTCGGCCATGTCGATGAACAGCAAATCTTCTGAGAATTCTTGAAGGCTTGAGCTGAGAAGAGAATCATTGAACATAAAGTCGACTTCAATGGGGTCGGAAGTCTCTTTATCCGTATGATGGCCTTGCACGTCGCGAGGCAAATTGAACGTATAGCCTGCTGCGTGCCCGAATGCCTCCCCAAATCCCTCCAGTGTCAGGGCAGTGTTCGTGCTGCTGTTTTGCTCGGTGAATTCGCGCGCTCTTTGCGATGATTGTGACTTCGTTGCTGAAGTCGAGGTTTTCGTTTTCTCATTGGGGGTTGGAAGTTCACGTATGGACGATTTTGGTGGACGAACCACTCTGATGCTCGTCGACTGTATGCATTCCATATTGGCTCGCTTACATCTGCGGCATCTGGGAGACGGACTACCAAGTTGGTCCTCTGCCTTACCGCCCCGAGTGTTATCGTTGTCATACTGGCAACGTAGTTTGTGGGCACGACAGCGATCGCATGCTGCATGCCTTGCTTGTCGACCCATGACGTGTACCAGAAATCCAGGTGAACTAGCAGTTTGAGAATCGGACATGATGAAATAATTGGTGCTTACTGAATTTAGACCAACCAAGGGGCAAAATGAAAAGTTGACAGATGGTGGTGAAACAGCCAGCACGGGCCCGTTGGACCCTGAGGATATAGCAAACGGGTATCAAGATCGACCTTCAAGACACTCCGAGACCCACACTCGCACTGCTCTGTCGGTTCCCGGACAGTAAATACAGCTGAGTGGCTAAAGGCAGGGGCCGAAGGTAAGGAGACAGGCCGGCGTAAATGTATCAACCAGTTGCCGGGTGCGAGTGGGACTTCTGCATGCGTGTACTGAAAAATTGACTCTCTCACCTGGTTGAATGCTTACTGACAAGTCTGTTTGGGAAGGCCACTTGGTTGGATAGGATCCGCGTACTCAAGAGCATTTCATCGAAACAAACTCGGAAATGAGCAGATCCTTGGGGGCAAAGGCGGCCACAGCCTGCACATGCATGCACACCGAGCGCCCACGTAACCTTGAAGGAATTGAGACAGCTCAGCCATATGATACTTATCTTTAGCTTCATATGGTGCGATGAACGACTCATTGGTGTTCTCTGAAACCCAGGATGAAAGACACAACAACCAACCCGTAGAGTTGCGTGCTTAGCGGGATCCATTCGGCAATGCGGCCGGCTCAAGGGCCATCTGTTATGGTGCAACTGGGTGGCGTAGACGGAGCAAGCCGCGCGGAGAACAGTGTGTCGTTACTTGCCGGTAAGAACTTAAGTGTTAACTAAGTGACTAAAGACGCAACGGGGTGAGTTATTCCGCCAAGCGATGAACCGCCCAGGCTGCTGCCTGACAGCTTGTGCTACCCCTCAAGGTCAGGATGTGATGCGTCTGTCCACGTTAGCAGTTCAGCTGTTAGTCAAGAAAGCTACTGTTGAATAATGGATTCTAGCCATACTCGTAACTCATGCCTTTGTTGATTGAGGTATCTCATAAAGTGTGCGTCAAGGGTAGGCTGTCTGCCTTTCAAACGGTGTCTGCCTTGAGATGACTGGCCGTTCGACCAAAAACGAATCATGGTAATGCAATGTAACGATGTTGAAGCGAGTCGATAATAACCGACCAATGGCTGATAGGAAGACCCTGGATTCGCGGGCCGGTTCTCGCCCTACGCCTCGCCCTACGTCAAGTGGCAGCGTGGAGGAAGGCCGTCATGCTTACAGTGTTACACTGCATTCCAGTGAGCATTTAGCCCTGTGGATGCAGGAGCCCTCACGAGGGCCTCAGTGACTAGATCGCCAGACTGGTACAGAGGGGCTGAAGGAATGTGCGGATCTGGCCCTGGCTGTGGCGTGCTGTAGGAACGATCTGGACTCAGGATTGCTGATGTTGCCTCATTTACCTGCACAGCCAAGGTAATTGATGCATGTACTGGGTGCGGCTGACAGAGTCCGCAACGCCATGTGCATTTCTGCAACTGGGAGCTGCCATAGGTACCCTCCACACTGTCAGCGCAATCCGATGATCCACCCACCCAACAAGAAGGCTGTCAATCGCAGCTGAAGAGATATCCGGGCCAGTTATAATTCGCGTATGAACAGCCGGTAGAGACTGCCCCCCCCCCCCCTTCAGACAAACGAACTAGCTGAATAGGGATGATATTCTAATCCTACCAGCACGAAAACCACACCGAGCAGCGTTCGCTTACTGTCCCGCGTAGGCTGGCAGACCCTGCATTGGTGATAGGGGGCATGCTACCCATCCACTAGGTGCACCGATCTCATTCGGTCTCGAAGCGAAGTCTCGAGATCGACCCTGGCCAGCGCAGGCCGATCATCGAAAACCCATCCTCTCTGTAGAGTAGGTATACGAGTGATACAAAATCGCCGACGCCGAAGCCGAAACGCCGAATAGGGTTGCAGTCACTTTGCGACTGGCTGGCGGCAGGAGCGCGAGGCGCTCGGGTGATGTACATTTGATAGCACAAGTCAACAGAAGATGGAACTGATTTGACTGGTTTTCTGGTATGCGTTCAAACTGGTGTCATGTCTGAAAAATCGCTCGTTACTTTCCTGGTCTCTTGTAAAATGTTCCGCGTCGTCCAACGAAGTGGAAAATTTCATGGTCAGAATTGTTTCAATTTGGAGGCCATCTATTTGTCCACCTCAATTTGCTAGATTATTTATTGGTCCTCAGCACAATCACAGCTATGGCCCCTCACGAAAAGGCTATTGGAGAGGAGACTGGCTTAAGCCTCTCCGATGGGAGAATGCTCTCTTATGCGGAGTATGGCGAACCTTCTGGCGCCCCAGTCCTGTTCTTTCACGGCTTCCCAGGCTCGCATAAGGAGGCAGCTCTCTGGCACGACTCCGCTGTTCGGCATTCTGTTCGTCTCATTGCACCCGACCGCCCCGGTATTGGGTTCTCTAGCTACCAGCCTGAGCGGTGCTTCCTCGACTGGCCTGCAGATATATCTGCCCTTACTAGTCAACTCGGTCTTGTGGGCAGAGACTGTCGAATTCTTGCCGTGGCAGGGGGTTCGCCATATGCGCTTGCCTGCCTCCATGAGCAATCTACCGCCAGCAAACACGAACTCCCTCGATTTCGAGATACCGCCATTGTTTCTGGTATCTATCCTCTATCCCTAGGGTCTACTGGGATCAAGCTCTCCACTCGGATCACACTTTGGATTGTTGGACACCTCTGGTTTCTGCTTGTACCACTTCTCGACTGGCTGATGGGCAAGCCAGCACGAACAGATCCGGAGCTCTTCCGAGCCCGGCTCCTCAAGGAGGCTAAGGGCAGACCCTTCGTCGACAGGAAGTGCCTTGCGGACAACAAGGAGTTCGCTGACGGATTTATCGAGTCTGCCCGTCACTCTTTTGCTCAGGACGCCCGGGGCGCAGCCTATGAAGCTGGGCTTATGGGTCGTGCTTGGGGTTTCGACTTGCACAGCCTTGTCGGCAATAATATAACAATGTGGCAAGGCGGCTTCGATGATGCCTGTCCCGTACCTCTTGCTAGGAGGGCGCAGGATAAGCTGACTGGCAGCACTTTGAAGGTCTTCGAATACGAAGGCCACTTGACTATTTGGGCTAGGAGGCAAGATGTGATTTGGGAAGCATTATTGGATAATGACGTGAGATAGTCAATGGCCATAGTTTCAAGCTTCCGATTGGAGCGATTTGTACTAGACTGCATTGAACTAGCATTTGGGGGGGGCGGGCGATGGCATTCAGCTCGTGTTCGCCAAGACGTGAAAGATCTCCTGATGCACGCTTTTCAGTCCCCAGCCTCAGGTATTTTTCTGTGTCAGAAAGCACTTATAGAAATTGCTGGTTAAGGTGTTTCAAGGATTACATCATGAAATGTTGAGGTTGCAGAGGTGTATATAAAGCAGCTGGGGATGCCTGTCATTCTGAAGTATTTTGACCCTCTACTCAACTTCCAACAGCAAATTGACTGTGGATATTGCCTATGGAAGATCTCCTCACTCGGCTCATTCCCCTCTCTGAGACTTTTTTGGAGCATCCACGTGGCTATATCTTTGTAGATGCAGGCGCAGACTTTAAAATACGTACGCAACAATATATCCATGATATTTGAAAAGGGAAAGAACTGCCCAAGATGTTTGAAGTCGTGTATTGAAAACTGAACAGCAGTTGGGTGATACGCCGACAGTGAATGTAAATAGGTGGGAACAACCCTATCAGCCACTTCTGAGTGGCGCGCTGACCATCTTCCACATGAATAACAAGAGATTTCCGGAACTCGCCATTTGCCACCATACGCCTATCATCAACTTGAGTGAGAACGTTTGTGGTAGGTCAACCAGCTCCGTCCATCCATATCCCAAGTCAAACTGCTCGCCGCCTACTTCGCCGCCGGAAACGACTTCTGTGTAGCCTGCCAAACCTCTGTTCTCGCCCAATCCTACCTCAAAAGGGCGTGTCTTGTGCTCTAGTTCAAATGTCCATCGCTGGCCGCGACTAGGGGACACGAAGTCCAATGTCCAGCCGGTAGACTTGTCGCCCCAGTTGCTGTGAATATCGCCACCATAACGACGGCTCATAAGGAGATGATCCGTTTGAGGGGTCGATTCGGAAGTGTTCGGCAGCAAGACTCCACTTGCTCGCACTAGGGGCTCGCCGTTTTTGAACAGCATGCTGCCCTGGTACTTTTTTCCGTCGAGTTTGGAGACATCCTCCCAGATGGTTATGTGATAGGGGCCGACAGTGGCGCGACCTACATTCCACTTGCTCACCAGACTGAACCAATCTTTGGACGACCAAAATCTGTTGTGACCTCCAAGCCCCTCAATGACTCTAGGTTCTTCGCCGTCCAAAATGAGCTCAAGCTTGGCTCGGCCTGCAGACATCGGCTCAGCGATACGTAACATAGGAGAAACTTCATGATTCGCCGTGGTAGACGGCCACGTGGAGCCATCAGCGTAACGGCCGGGAGTGATGGCGTCGAGAACAAATCGGCCGCGAATACCTGGGCGTTCAAAGTTGCCTTCAATGTGACTCAGGTCGCGGGAGATTGTGAAGGCGTACCACCGGTCAGGACCTTTCCATACGCCACGGACGTGGCCGCAACAATCTTCGACGCGAGATTGGTCCACAAATTCAGGCCCGCCGAGTATGGTGCCGTTGGCGAGCATGACGAAGAACTCGATCCGTAGGACGCCCTGGCCCATCATAGTGTAGGACGCATCGCGGGACACACACATCATAAGTGACTCGTCGGCTTTCGAGGATACCATATCGAAATACCACTGTTCCCATGACGATCCATTAACGGCGGACAATAGAGATCGGGTCATGTGGTCTCGTGGAGATGTTGACATCCAGACCGGGCCTTTGACGGTCTGGTAGGCAGAAACATCTGTCGTGAAGCATGGCTGATCGCAATCCGTAAAGCCTCCAGCAGTAAAGGTGTGCTGCCATGAGGAAACTGCACTACCGAAGCACCAGATACTGGCTAGAGTTCGGTGAAACAGCATGGTGATAGAGTAGGCTGAGTAAGTCTATAATCGAATCGTGAAGAAATTGTGAAAAGAGCAAGTTGGTAATTCAAATGCCGATGGCTTAGATTTCCATCTGCTTGAGTTTCTTTCTTTGGTCGGCATGTCAAGATTTTGATGTGGGTGCAGATTTCCTTCCGCATCCGAAGCGTAGAACCATTTGATCACCAAGACTGTTCTGTTCAAGTTTGTTGCGCAATGACCTCCTCGCATTCGGCTTTGACTAGATGGTCAACCTGTTCGGCGCTGTGGAATTGCCCGATTGGGAGATCCGGGCCGAATCTTGGGGCTGAGAACATCTGGCCCCCGATAGTAAGCTGTGCCTGGAAAACTGCCTTCCTGCGATGGTCTTATCTGATTATTGGCTAACAATGGAATGATATCATGCAAGATATCAGTGATTCTGTTGATTGCAATTTGATTCTCTCCCCAGGTTCGGTTCAGGCACGCCTTTCATCCGAAGCTCGAGTCGCCGCTGAGGCTGGATCACTGGACTATTCCGGGCCACGGAAGGATTGAAGATTGTCAGCTCGGGCTGGGCGAAAAGAAGGTGCGATCCATCTGCGCAGCCTATTTGGCGTTGCGCAAGGGTTGTGTCGGATAAGCCTTGCCCAGATCCCGTACCTAGATGCCATCACACTTTCGGCATCCTGAGTGGTGGGCCAGCTAGTCAGTGGGGGGTGGTACTTGGGAACCGCTTCCTCAGACTATTCTTGTGGCGATTTTGAAAAGCTATGAGGGTGGTAAGCGATAGCCAATATATCAATGGTGGTTTGTTCCGTTGGTGGTTTCCGTTCTTGCACGCTGTTTTTTTCAACTTGAACTCGTCTTGTTCAACCAAGTTGCGGCATCTTTATTTGACATCAACTTCTGATAGCATTCTAGCTATTTCGAGATGGCAAACTACACGAGCGAGCCCATTGCAATTGTTGGAAGTGCTTGTCGCTTTCCAGGAGAATCCTCGTCGCCATCGAAGCTCTGGGCTCTTCTACGCGAGCCTCGAGATGTTCTGGCCAAGATTCCGCCGGTACGCTTTGATCCCGAGGGATTTTATAACGAAGATGGAGAGTACCATGGAAGCTCCAATGTCAAGGAGTCGTACATGTTGAAAGAGGATCATCGAGTGTTCGACGCCCAGTTCTTCAAGATCAAGCCAGTCGAGGCTCACAGCATTGATCCTCAGCAGCGTATTCTCATGGAGACGGTCTATGAGTCCATCGAAGCTGCTGGTTTCGCCATGGAAAAGATGCAAGGATCCGACACGGCTGTTTACGTCGGACTGATGTGCGAAGAGTACAGCAACATTGTGGCAGGCGATGTCGACCAGCTACCGACTTACACTGCTACAGCCACTGGCCGCAGCATCATGTCGAATCGTATTTCCTACTTCTTCGACTGGCACGGCCCCTGCATGACCATCGACACAGCCTGCTCGTCCAGCCTCATCGCCGTTCACCAAGCTGTTGAAACCCTTCGCAATGGCACCTCTCGTGTGGCAATCGCTGCTGGCGCAAACCTGCTTTTGAGTCCTAGTAAGTTAATTAGTGGCGCAAACGCTTCTTTCAGGCAACAAGATACTCTGTGTTAACCACGATTTTCTTTGAATCAGTGGGATATATCACTGAGAGCAAACTTCATATGCTTTCGCCAGGCAGTCGATCCCGCATGTGGGACGCTGATGCCGACGGCTACGCGCGAGGCGATGGCGTTGCTGCAGTAGTGCTAAAGAAGCTGAGCGATGCCATTCGTGATGGCGACCACATTGAATCCATCATTCGCGACACTGGCGTCAACCAAGACGGGTACGTGAGACTCTCTACTGTCTATTGAGCTGGCTGCACAGAGACTTGTAGGACCTAGATTGCACTAACAAGAGCATCAAATGTTGTAGTCGTACCACAGGTATTACGATGCCAAGCAGCACGGCACAGGAGGCTCTCATTAGACGTACCTATTCCAAAGCCGGTCTCAATCTCACCAATCCGTTAGAGCGATGCCAATACTTTGAAGCTCACGGCACCGGTAAGACGCTTCTTCTCTATTTTCGCACCATCTACTTTGGCAACTTGGAAAGATGGCTGACACCAACTCATAAAAGGCACACCTGCTGGAGACCCCATCGAAGCTTCGGCTATCCAGAAGGCATTTTTTGGAGCAGACAACACTGGGGTCGATTCCAATGACATTCTCTACGTAGGATCTATCAAGACTGTCATCGGACACACTGAGGGAACCGCCGGCATCGCTGCACTCATGAAAGCCTCGCTTGCAATCCAGCACTCTGTAAGTTGGCTCATGCCAAAAAAAAAAAACACAGCCAGGAGAAGATAGGACGTAAACTCATCATATGTTCTCATTTCGTAGATTATTCCTCCCAACATGCTGTTCAACAAGCTCAGTCCGGCCGTGGAACCCTTTTACGAGCATCTTGAGATAGCTACGGCAGCCCGGCCTTGGCCAGAGCTTCCGGAAGGTATTCCTCGACGAGCAAGTGTCAACAGCTTCGGGTTCGGCGGGACCAATGCCCACGCAATTGTTGAGCAGTATGTCCCTGGTATCTGGGATCAACGTGAGCAGTCACGTCGGTCAGCTCCGTCTTTCCTCCCAATCTGTCTCTCCGCTGCGTCAGAGAAGGCTCTGTTCGAACAGGCGCGTCGCCTCTCCGTTTGGCTCGAAAACAACTCCGAAATCAGTCTAACGGATCTCGCCTGGACCCTCGCCATCCGCCGCAGCAAATTCCCGTATCGTTGGTTTTTCTCTGCCGGCAGTGTTACACAGCTTAGGGTCAAGATCGACAAAAGGCTCGGATCCAACTATGAGCCCATCAACTTACTTCCTTCGCACAAGCCCAAAATCCTCGGCATCTTTACAGGTCAAGGAGCACAGTGGGCGGCTATGGGACGATCTCTCATTGTTGGATCTAAGTTTGTCTCTAAGATTGTCGACTGTCTGGAGGTCAGCCTGAGTCTCCTTCCGGACGCTCCTACGTGGTCATTGAGGGAGGAGCTTCTCGCTGGAGCGGACACGTCTCGTATCGCCCAGGCAGCCCTCTCGCAGCCTCTGTGCACGGCCGTACAGGTTATTCTAGTTGAGATGCTCAAAGCATCGGGCATCGGCTTCGAGGCCGTTGTTGGCCACTCTTCGGGCGAGATCGGTGCTGCATACGCCGCCGGCTTGGTCTGCGCGGAAGATGCTATTCGTATTGCCTACTACCGTGGTCTTCATTCCAGCCTTGCCAAAGGAAGCAAAGGTCAGAAGGGTGCCATGCTAGCCGTCGGAACGTCTGTTGAGGATGCTCAAGAGTTCTGCGCATTCGAGGAGATGCAAGGTCGCATCTGCGTCGCCGCCTGCAACTCATCCTCCAGCGTTACCTTGTCTGGAGACTCGGACGCGGTGAAAGAAGCAGAGTCTATCCTTCAAGACGAGGGCAGGTTTGTACGAGTCCTTCGCGTGGACACCGCATACCACTCGCATCATATGCTCCCGCCGGCCGGTCCGTACGTGGAATCGATGCGTAGCTGCCATGTTCGGGTTCTCGACGACAGGAAAGGCGAAGGTGTGGTTTGCTCCTGGTTCTCGAGTGTGCGGGAGAATCAAGAGGAAATGAAAATCCAATCCGAAGGTCTTGATGGCGAATACTGGCGAGATAATATGGTCAAGCCGGTTCTGTTTGCGCAAGCTCTGAAAAAGGCTATCGACACCAAGGGCCCCTTTGACCTGGCTTTTGAGATCGGGCCTCATCCGGCTCTTCAAGGCCCAGCTCTACAGACAATCCAGGAAGTCCAGGGTAACCGTATCCCCTACACTGGCGTTCTCTCGCGAGGTGTCGACGATGTGGAATCGTTTGCCGACGCACTTGGATATCTTTGGAGCCATCTCTCTCCCACCAGCGGTTTACTACAGCTTGAGAAGTCCGATGCTACTCTGTCAGGGGAACAGCAGCCCAACGTTGTCAAGGACCTCCCTCCTTACGCCTTTGACCATGACCGCGTCTACTGGAGAGAGTCCCGATTGGTCAAAGCCACCAGAACTCGCAAAACGCCTTACCACGATCTGCTGGGTGTCTGCTGCCCCGATGGAACTGATCCAACACTCCTCCGTTGGAAGAACCTCCTCTCGCCCAAGGAGATTCCCTGGCTCGGAGGTCATATGGTACAAGGACAAATCATCTTTCCTGCAGCCGGTTATCTCTCAATGGCTATCGATGCGTGCCGTATCCTGGTGGCCCGTCGGGGTGAGGCTCTTGCCATTAAGGGTATGGACATTCTTGACTTTGTCATTGGAAAGGGCATCATCTTCGATGATCGCAGCCTGGGTGTTGAGACCCTGCTCACCTTGACCCTCGATGAGGAGTACGACGAGAACGCGAGATCAATCAACGGCACGATTCGCTTCTACGCCGGTCTGGCCAATTCAGATGTCTCTTCTCTACCACTTCGCTGCTCATGTCGCGTGCATCTCAATCTCGAGGAAGCGGGACTGATCAGCGATATTGTTGAGGGAAGCACGTCGTTGCCACTTCTTCCCCCCCGCGCAGAGCAGCTCGTCAACGGGGTAAACGTGGATGCGAAACAGTTCTATGCTAATCTCGCTGAAGTTGGGTATGAGTATTCCGGGCTTTTTCAGGGACTGTCAGAGCTGAAGCGTACCCTTGACGCCGGCACGGGTGTCATCGCAAACCCTGCTCGCCAAGATCCCCTCCGGTCTCCCACCGTTCATCCTGCCATGATCGACTGTACCATTCAGGCCGTGTTGCTCGCATTTTGCTTCCCTGGAGACGGGAAGCTGTATGCACTGCACGTGCCGACAAAAATACGACGCGTCTCCATCGATCTACCGCTTCTAGAGAGGGAAACTCTTGGGGCCGGTCAGCTCCCAGTAGACTCTATTGTTGATTCGAATGGCACAGTAAGCGGAGACGCACACTTGTTTGCGAAGGATGGCGAAACCGCCATGATTCAAATGCACGGCATCGAAGTTGTGCCTCTGACGCCACCGACGCCAGAGCAAGACGCGCAGCTCTTCTGGGCGTACGAACTGGGCGTCGCTCAACCAGACGGTAACCTCATGGTCAAGGGCCGCCGAGCGACAGATGCAGACTACGAGCTTGCCGAAGTCGCGGAAAGAATTTGCTATCACTATTTGAAGAACCTGCTAGCCGAGCTGACGCCGGAAGACATTGAAAAGTCGGCGTGGCATCACAAGCGCCTGGTCAACTTTGCTCGCAAGACACTAGGAGAACTGCGTTCTGGTCAGGATCCGCACACTAACCCTCAATGGTACGATGATACAGATGAGGACATCGCTGCCCTTATGTATCGATTCAGGCACAAGGTTGAGATGAAATTGGTGGGTGCTGTAGGTCGAAACCTGGCAGCCGCCGTGCGGGGTGAGACGTCTATCCTCGAGCATATGATGGAGGACAACGTTTTACACGACTTTTACGCCCAGTGTCTCGGTTTTGACGAAAACTCACACTTCCTGGCCGAGGCTGTCTCGCAGATCACCCATCGCTTCCCACACATGAACATCATCGAGGTGGGAGCCGGTACCGGTGGCGCTACCAAGATTATCATTCCTCACCTTGGTGATGCATTCTCATCCTATACCTTCACCGACATCTCGGGCGGATTCTTCCCGAAGGCTCGCGAGGTATTTCTCG